GCGCTGTTCGTCTGCCCGGTGAGAATCGCGGCCCACCCCGACGGCGCCCTCGGCGGGCCGGGCGGCGGCGGCGGCGGCGGCGGGCTCGCGCGGTCGGCGGCGTCGCCGAGCGCGCTCGAGCTCGCGTGGATGTGGTGGTGGTGGTAACTCTCGCCTGCGGCAGCCTTGCCGCCGCGCGCGATCTTGTCCTTCCCGTCGGCGGCGGCGCCGTTGTTGTTGTTGTTCCTTCGCGTCGTCGGCGACGACCCGCCGCCTGATCCGCCGCCGCCGCCCTTCTTCGTCGTCTTCTTCGACGAGACCGTCTCCCACCCGTCCACCACATCGTGCGTCGGCGTCGCCGCGCGGCCGTTGGTCTGATGATGCCCCCCGCCGCTCTTCCCGTTTAGCCCCTTCTTCGCCCCGCCGCCCGCGTCGCCGCCGGCGTGGAACACGCGCGCGAGACGCGTCGCCTCGCCCGGCGTGAGATCCAACCGGAACTTCTTCCCGTTCGCTTCCCCCGCGGCGAACCGCAAGAACGGCTTGCACGACGCCGCGGACGCGGAACACGTCACGCGCGTGTGCTTGTACCGCACCTGCGCCGGGTAGGGGCTGCCGTCGATACCGGCGGCGTCGCCCGCGCCCGCGCCCGAGGTTTTCCACGCGGTCGGGTCGGCGTTCATCGCGCCGTCGGAGGTCTGCGGGTGGGGCGCGCGGGACGGAGGACGGGAGGTCAGTTGGGAGGGGTCGACGGACGTGATAGCGGGGAGGGATGTTTTCGGGATGCGGCGCGCGGCTCGCGGCGGGCGGAGACGACGCGCGGCGAGACGACGCGTCGTCGGCGTTTCTCCGCCGGGAGCGGTCGATCGGTCGATCTTATCCGAAATTTTTCGCGCCGACGAAGCAGGACGACGCCGGCGCGATCGCGTCGCGCGAGACGACGTTTTCGGGGACGACGCGCGCGCACGCACCGCCTCGAAGACGCCGTGGAAGCGCCGCTCGGTGAGGTTATAGAGGAACAGCGGCATCCCCGGGGTGATGCGCTTCACGAACGACCAGCTGCCCTGCGTCAGGCCGAAGAGCCCAGCGCGCGTGGTGTCGTCGTACGTCTCGCGGCTGCGGAAGGAGAGGGAGAAGGAGAGGCGCGATGAGGATGGGGCATCGGGGCGAGGGGGTCGGTCAGCGCGCTGCTTGCTAGAGGGATGGGACGACGACGGGGAGAGGGAGCGGGAGGGAGGGAGGGCGCGCGCGCGCGGCGAGGCGAGGCTCCGCGCGGAGGGCGGCGCGCGGACGGACGCCTCGGTCCGCGATCCATCATCGTCGCGTCGCCCGCCCTTCTTCTTTCGCCGCCGCATCTGAGCGAGGCGCGAGAAAAGCGCGGCCGCCGCGAACGCCGTAAACGCGCTCGCACCTGCATATGAAGATGACCCCGCCGAGTTCGCCGTCGTCGCCGCCGTCGTCGCGATCGCCCGCGGGCATCGCGCCGGCGTCGAGCGCGTCGAGCAGCTCGGACGCGGTCCGGAGCGCCATCGCGCGCGTCTAGTAGCTCGACTTCCGAAAGAGATTCCTCGCTTCTCCTCCGCGCCGGGTGGAAAGGTTTTGTTCGCCGACCTCTCCCGCCGCCGCGGTCGCCGCGACGCGCTCGAGGGTTCTGATGTTACGCCGACCGCGTGCGCGCGATCTCCTCCGCGCGTGGAAGCGAAACCGTCCGAGGTCGCGCTCGTCGCGGTGTCGCGCCGCGCCCAGTGACGACCGCTCCGGCGTCGCGCGGCGTTCGCGGAGGGCCGGTATTTTATTTCGAGATCTCTCGAGGCGGACGGCGGGCGGAGATCGTCGAAGCTGATTTGAGTGCCTACTCTACGTCGCGCGCGGTCAACGGGTCAAACGCGCGCGATCGACGGCGTTTCATCGCGAACGAACCGATCAAACGGAGTCGATGAACGACGTTCGTCGTTCGCCCCCCGCGGCGCAGTCAGTAGACGAGCTAGTCTAGTCTATCCGTCGAGCGACGCGAACTCGCCGGCGTGCGCGACCTCGAACGGCGCGTCGCCACCCATCCGCTCCTCGCCCTCGCCCCAAAAGAACCGGACCGCCTCCGAGACGACGTCCGCGGCGAGCGCGTCCGCCGCGCCGCCGCCGCCGCCGAATTCGCTCTTGAACGCGTCCTCGAAACCGAGCACCCACGCGCGGTACCCTCGCCGCGACGGTTCGTCCGGTGAATCGTCACCTCCTCCCCCGCGCCGTGCGACGACGACACGCACGACGAACGCCTCGAAGCAGTTACGAAACGGCAGGAAGCGGCGGCGGAGTTTGGTTTCCGTCGCCGTCGCCGTCCCTCCGACGCCGCCGCCGACGACCCCGCGCACCGTCGCGACCACCGCCGCGTTCACGGCGTCGCGCGCCTCGCGTCGCGACCGTTCGTCCATCGAACCGTCGCCGTCGTCGTCGTCTAACGACGTCCACGCGCCCTCGGGCACGTCGGCGCGTCGAATCTCCACGCGACGGTGGACGCACACGCGCGGGGCGGACCCGAGGAGCAACGCGACGACGCGCGCGTCGAACGACGACGACGACGCGTTGCCGTCGCCGCCGTCGCCGCCGCCGCCGTCGCCGACGAGCTGCCGAACCCTCCACGCGCGAGCGTCGCCGTGGAGCACGCGCGACGCGGCCACCTCCGCGGACGCGCAGCGGTGACGCGTCGTCGTCTTCGTCTTCGTCTTTATCGTCGTCGACGACGTCGTCGCGTCCTCCTCGACGTCCCACGCGCAGTCGCCGCCGCCGCCGCCGCCGGCGCGTCGCAACGCCGCCGCCGCCGCGTCCGCGCCTCCGGCAGCCTCTATCCCGCCGCGCGTCAGCGTCGCCGACACCGGGACGACGCCGAGCACGCCGTTCGAGATCAGCGCGTTCGAGAGTCTCGACGCGCACAGGAGGACGCCCCGAGCGTAGTAATGGCTCGCGACGAGCCTGCGCCTCGCGCGCGTCGTCGTCGTCGTCGTCGTCGTCGTCGTCGTCCCCTCCCCGTCCAAAACTCGTTCCCACGACACGTCCTCGTGCGTCGCCCACTGCATCGACGTCGTCTGCGACCGGAGATCGTCCGTGAGCTCCCAATCAGCGGCGGCTAACGCGCTCGCCGCGCCGGACGCGCCCGGCGACCCTCGCGCGATGCACGCGCTTCTCCTCGCGAAAGTTTCTTTGCCTTTTCCGACGAACGCGCTCATCGTCGACAAGAGCTTCGCGACGCGTCGTCGCCCCTCGCTCGCGTCGTTCGGGAACCGCGGCGGGAGGCTCAGGACGAGCGCGAACCCTCCGTGTGTTCCCACTGCGCCGGTTGACGTTCCATATTCTTCTTCTTCTTCCGCGGCGTGATCATACGCTAACCGCCTCTCGTGTTCCGCGCGTTCGCCGTCCTCCGCGAGCGGCGCGACGACGTCGACGACGTCGCGCAACACCTCCGCGCACTTCGGCCGCAACCGCTCGCCATACACCGCGAGGCACGGATCGCCGTTCACTTCCAGCAGCCAGACCTTCCCGCGCGCGTCGACGAGGAAGTCCGCGCCGAGGAGCTCGAACGTGCCGTGGGTAGGGAAGAAGCCGACGGGCGCGACGGTTTTTTTGTCGCGCGCCGCGAGGAAGAGGTCGCGGACGATCGCGCGTAACTGCCCTCTGATGTGCGTTTCGAGATCCCGGGAGGAGGAGGAGGAGGACCCCGCGACGTTCTCGCTCTTCTTGTTCTCGTGAACGCCGCCGTCGTCGTCGTCGATCTCCACGCGCTCGCACATCTCGGTCAGCGTCAGCGCGTTGGCGTCGTCGTCTCCGAGGAGTTCTCGCGATCTCGGATCCTCGTCCTCGACCGCCCCGCGGCCAACGCGTCGCCGAGCCTTCACCTGCACCCTGTGGTTCGTCGCGTGCGCGGCGACGTCGCGCATGTCCGTCGCGTCCCACGCGCGGTCCGAGCACAGCGCGACGACGTTCTCGTGCACGAACACGCGCGCGTCGCCGCTCACGAGGATCATGACGCGGAGGTGGCACTTGCGCGCGCCGTCGACGAGCATCGGACGCTCGACGTGCCTCTGGAGTACCCACGACGCGTCGCGCGGGCACGACGCCATCAGCGCCTCCGCGCGCGCGACGTCCGCGGGGACGGACGCGTCGAAGAACGCGATGCGCTCGCCGCGGTCGCTCTCGGACGCTTTCAAGACCCAGCGGCGGCGGCGGCGCGCGGCGTCGGCGTCGGCGTCGGAGAGGAGCCATCGCGGCAGTCGTCGTCTCTTCTCGGTGCCGACGTTCTCATCATCATTCTCGTTCGCCTCCTCGTCGTCGCCGTCGCTGTCGTCGTCGCCGTCGATGACGTGCGTCTCCGGCGTCGCCGCCGCGACCGGCGACGCGTCGAGCCCGACGCGCTCGGCGTGGCGTCGCACCAGCGTCGCGAGGTCCGCCTTCCTCGTCAGCGCGGTCTTCAGCACGAGTCGGTTCGCGACGCACGTCGCGGCGTCGTCGTTGCCGCCCCCGCCGAGGACGCGGTCCCATCGCACGTCGCGCGCTTTCGCCCAGTGCAGAGACGCGCGCGACGCGTCGTCCACGATCTCCCATCCGCGGCTCGCGAAGGCGTCGCGCAGGAGCGGCGCCTCGTACGCCGCGCTCGGCTCGAGCGCGACGACGCGGCGACGCATCTGGCGACGGGACCGACGCGACGATCGCGGCTCGTCCCTGTCAGCAGCGCAGCGCGCGCGCGTGACAAGTGGCCGCGAAATGTTCACCCAGCTCGTCGGTTTCAAGTCTTCGACGCCTTTCAACTGACCGCGAACCTTGACCCCGGTGACAGCTGTGCATTTTGAACTGAAAAAAAGTGCGTAAATATCTCATCACGATCTAATGCACATTTGCCTCGAACGCGCGGCCGCACGCGCGCCACGCCGTCGATATCGATCGCAGGTCGCGTCTAATATAGGCGACGCGCGAACGCGCGGCATCGCATCGCGGGAGGTCAGGGCGAGAGACCCGCGCGCGCGACGCGTCGAATCCGAGGACGCGTCAGAATTCTTCTGTTTGCGCGTCGACGCTTTTGAGCACGCTTTTTCGCGCGCGCGCTAACCGACGACCGTCGGCGATGGCGCCTCCTCCTCCGGCGAAGAAGAAGACGCGCACCGCGCGCGGCGCCGCCGCCGCGACGAACGACGGCGACGCCGCGACCGCGCGTCCTCGCGCCGCGGAGGAGAAGAAGCCGTCCAGCGCGTTGCAGTGGGGCCGGAAGCAGACGCGCACCACGTCCGAGGCGGATCCGAGACCCAAGGCGGCGCGCGGGCCGTCGACGACGGCGAACGCGCGCGGCGGATCCGGCGCGAACGACGCGGGAATTCCCGGCGCGAATGAGCAACACCCCTCCGCGGCGATCACGGGCGACAGCGTCGGCTTCACGTCTCTGCTCACGCTCGCGGACGCGGGCGTGCAGCTCGAGAGGCGCAGCGCGCAGAAGCAGCGCCGGAGCGACAAGATCGCGGCTTCGAAAAGTAACGCCGCGGCAGCCGCCGCCGCCGCCGCCGCCGAAACCGCCGCGAACGGGTTCGTCGCTCAGAGCGGCAGGAAGGGATCCAACATCGCGACGGCGGCGTCTCGCGGCGCCGCGTCCGGCGCCGCGCCGTCGTCGGCGGGCGCCCCGGGGTCCTCCGTCGTCGCCGAGAACCCTGGAAAGAAGCGCGGCCGCGGACCGAACAAAAAAGAAGAATCCGAGGAGGACCTGGAGGCGAAGCGACGGAAACGCGTGCAGGCGAACCGCGAGAGCGCGAGAGAGACGATCCGACGGAAGCACGAGAAGTACGACGAGCTCAGCGCGAGAGAGGAGGAGCTCACGGGCGAGAACGCGACGCTGCGCGGCGACGTCGCGGAGGCGTTGCGACGCGCGAGGGCGCTCGCGGCGGAGAACGACGCGTTGCGGGAGAAGGTCCGCGCGGCCGCGGCGGAGAAGGGCGTGGCGTGCCCGGCGTTCGGGGAGCGCGCGCGCGTGGAGCCTCCCAGCGAGTTCCAGCCCGAGAGCGCGGGCGTCGTGCCCGTCGCCGGCGTGAGGATGCTCCTTGACGGCGGCGCGGCGCCCGTCGCCGTCGGCGGCGCCGCGGCTCAATTCCCGGCGATCGCGGCGGCGGGTCCTACGAACGAGGGACGAGACGGCGGCGAGTGCGCGGGGACGTCAGTGACGACGGCGGCGGCGGCGGCGGCGGCGGCGGCGGCGACCGCGGCGGCGGCGATGCGACCGGCGGCGGCGGCGGCGTGGCCGAACCCGCAGATGGCGTTTGGGATGTTCACGTCGAACGGGTTTAACATGGCGAACATGCCGCCGCCGCATCTGTGGAACCCCGCGGCGATGGCCGCGGCGTTAGGGGGCGGGGGGTGGGGGGTGCCGTTGGCGCAAGGTGCGGCGACGACGGCCGCGACGACGGCGGCGCCCGCCGCGAAGAAATAAAAACGTTTCCCGCGGACGGACGGACCCCGGAGCCGGAGGAAGAAGCCGAACCCCGCGCTTTCGGTGCGGGTGTACGAGTAGTCTAATAACCTGTAGTTTTCGTTTCCGTGTATGCGTGTATGTAAGCATAAGATTTTTTCACTAATCTAACGCGTCGTCGTCGTCGCCGTCGTCAGTTCAGAAGCGACAAGACGTCGTCGTCCGACGCCGTGAGCGCGTTTTTCCGCCCCGCCGCGTCGCCGCCTTCTCCGCCGCTACTCTTCCTCCCCCCTCCTCCTCTCGCGACGATCACCGGGCTCTCGCACGGCGCGGGCGCCTCCTTCTCCCTCTCCTCATCCCCGCCCCTCTTCTTCTTCGACGCGACGGAGACGATCGTCTTCGCGACGACGTCCGAAGCCTTCGCGACAGCCTTCGTCTCCGCGGCGTCCGCGAGCGCCACCAGCACGCACTCCTCGATCCTCCGAAGCTCCCTCCGAGCCGCGGCGGCTTCCTTCGCGCTTCCGGACGACGACGACGACGACGCGAGCTCGCGATCGAACGCCTCGTCCCTTCTGGACGCTTCCTTGAACGCGATCATCGCGGCGACGAGCGCTTCGAGGTCGAGCCGCGGCCGCGTCGTCGCGTACCGCCCGTCGTCGCCGCCGTCGTCGTCGTCGTCGTCGTCGTCGCCGTCGTCTCGGACAAAGTACCGCCTCCTGAGCGCTCGCAGCTCGCCGCCGAACGCGTCGTACGCGCTCGAGAGGTTCCTCTCCGCGGCCCTCTCCGCGGCGGCGGCCTCGCCCCACGCCATCGCCATCTCTTCCTTGGCGACGTCCGACGCCGTCCTCGCCTCCGCCGCGTCGCGTTCCGCGCGCTCGGCGCGTTCCGTCGCGGCGTCGCGCTCCTCGATCAACTCCTCCGTCGTCTCGAGGCGCGACGTCGCGATCGCCGCCTCCTCCGCGCGCTCGCGCAGCGCCTCCGCGCAGCGGTACTCCGCGTCCGTGGCGCGGTCTTCCGCCTTGGTCTTGTCTCTCAACGCCGTCGCGAGCTGCGATTCGGCCGACGCGCTCGCCGCCGCCGCGTCGCGCGCCGCCGCGTCGCGCGCCGCCGCGTCCTCGGTCGCGCGCTTCGCGCGCGCCCTGAGCGCCGCGCACTCGGTCGCGAGCGCGTCCGCGTGCGCCTTGGACGCTCGCGCCGCTCGTCGCGCCGCGGCGACGCCGTCGAGCGCGTCGGCGACGATTCGTTTCGCGTCGGCGGCGACATCGTTTAGGTCGTTTCGCATCCGCGTCGACGCGTCTGACATCTCTCGCGCGAACCACGCGCGCTCCGCGTCCGCGCGCGCCGCGTCCGATCGCGCGCTTTCCTCGAGCTCGCGCGTCAGCCGCTCGCGGATAACGCGCGTCTCCTCCCGCGCCGCGCTCGCCGCGTCCTTCGCCTCTCGCAACTCCGCCTCCGCGCTCGCCAACACGCTTTTCTTCTCCCCGAGCTTCTCCTCCGCGCGCGCGCCCTCCTCAGCGACGAGCCTCAGCCGCTTCACCTCCGCGCGCAAACCCGCCGCCTCGCTCGCGGCGCTCTCCGCGCGCGCCCTGAGCCTCGCCTCGCGCTCGGACCCCCCGGGTCCATGCGCGCCTGTGCCCTTCAGCGCCGCCTGCGTCTTCTTCAGCGCCTTCTTCAACGCGCTCGCGTCGTCCTCCGCGGCGCGCCTCGCCGCGTCCGACGCCTTCGCGCGCGCCTCCGCGACTCTCGCGCGCTCCTCCGCGGCTCTCGCCGCGCACGCCGCGGTCTTCTCGAACCCGCCGCCGCGCCCGTCGCGCCCTCCTCCGCGCAGCGCCGCGCGCGCTTCCGCGGCGCCGAGGGTGAGCCCTTCGCGTCGCGCGTCCGTCACGGCGCGTCGCACGAGCTCGCTGAGGGTCGTTCCGAACGAGCGAACGTCGGGGAGGAGTTGAAAGGCGTCAGAAGCGGAGTTGAAAGGCGTCGAGGGCGGGTATTGAAAGCGAGGGGTGATGCGCGGAGAGATGCGCCCGCAAAAGTCCTTAAGGATCGGCGTTCACCACGCCGACGCGGTCGTATGGGAACCAGCGTGAAGGAGAACGCGCCTGACGCTCGCCATCGCCGCCGCGGACGCTCCCTTTACGAGCATGAACGGCGCGAGCGGCTCGCCGTTGATCGCCGCGGCGACGATGTGCGCGCACTCGACGACGGGGACGGTCGCGGAGGGTGGCAGCGAGGGAGGCATCGCGGGCGCGCGGTACGTCCCGGCGTTCAGGTCGTTGTCGACGACGGAGACGGAGGCAATAGGACGCGGCGCGGATGGCGCGGACGACGACGACGACGCGGACGTCGAGGCCGACGCGTCGCGTTCGCCGGGGAACCGCACGTCCTCCTCCTCTTCGTCGTCGTAATATTCGTCGCCGTCGTAATATTCGTCGCACTCGTCGTCGTCGTCCGCGTCGGCTTCCTCTTCCCGGGGAACGTCTGCATCATCCTCGTCGTCGTTCCTCCGTTCGCCGCGCTCGTCGTCGTACACGTCGAGGTCCTCCTCTTCCTCCTCCGCGATCGCTTCCCCGCGTCGGTCCGACGACGCTCGCATCCCGCCGCGCGGCGGCGGCTTGAACACCGAGCTCGGCGGCGGCCGCGGCGCCGGCGTCGCGGCGGAGATGGACGACGACGACGACGACGACGACGACGACGACGACGCGCCGGAGCCCGAGCCCGCGCGCGAATGAGATTTCGATCTCGTCGCGCGCGCGGTCGCGACGTACGCCGCGCTCGCCGCCGCCGCGGCGGCTCTCCTGCTCTCCTTCAGACGCGCCATCGGCGCGGCGTTCGCATCTCGCCCGGCGACGACGTTCTCGTCCAGCCGCCCGAGCGGGGCGAAGGCGCGCGCCATCGCGAGTGGTGAACCGTTTTCGGTCATTCTTTGTTCCCCTCCAGTCGCTGAGTCAGTGTCGGCACTTCCGAGGCACTTCCTTCCGGTGTTCGAGGCGTCGCCGCGCGCGCACACGTCCATGCCCGCGTCCCTCGGCGTCGCCGCGCTCGTTCCCGCCCGCGCGTCGAACGCGACCGCGCGGCGATCGAGGTCCGCCGCGAGCGCGTCGCGCAGCTCGCGCGCGTCCGCCGTCGTCGCGATGGCGTCCGCGTCGTCGTCGCCAGATCCTTCCGACGTCGTCGTCGCCGATGAAGCAGAGAAGACGTCTTCGAAGAAGAGGAAGATGATCGCGCTGCACGGCAAGGGCGGCACCGCGGCGTCGTTCGAGAAGTACATGGCCCCGCTCGTCGCCGCGACCTCGGAGACGTGGGACTGGACGTTCGTGGACGGTCCGCACGAGCTCCATTCCGGCGGCAGGGCGTGGTGGACGCTCCCGCCGAACACGCGCACGTTCGAGGCGGAATCGCTCGACGGCGCGGACGACTCGCTCGCGATGCTCGACCACCTTTGGCCGTTCGACGGGCTGATGGGCTTCTCCCAGGGCGCGATGCTCGCCGCGATCGCGTGCGGCCGCGGTGTCGGACCGTCGAGGGCGCACCGCCCGCGTTACGCGCTCGTCGTCGGCGCGGCGTTCCCAACCGCGCGCGGCGCCGACGTGGAAAAGCTCAGATCCGTCGAGCTCCGAGCCGCGGGGGAGTGGGACGAGGCCGTCCCGGAGTCGGTCGCCGCGGTCGTCGCGGCGCCGCCGGAGCCGCTCGTGAGGTCGCTGCACGTCATAGGGAAGAAGGACGAGATGAACCCGCCGGCGCAGGGGAGGAAAGTCGCGGAGGCGTTCGGGCTAGGCGCGGCGACGCACGAGCACCAGGCGCGTGTAGTCGCGTGTTTCACCCACCGCTCGGTTTCAACGTTTGATCGCGTGGGTCCCTTTCAACTGACCGATGAATGAACTTTTCATCGCCTACCCGCAGTGGGCGCACGTCGTGCCGCTGGACGACGAGAGCGTGGCGAAGTACGTCGAGCTTCTCATGAGCTGACGAGCCCGGCGCGCGCGCTAAGTGAAGGTAGAGTACTTAATAATACCGTTAAAGTGACGGCCGTCATATGATATGATAGGTTTTACAACGAACACGCCCGACCAATATGATATCGCCGCCGACGCGCGCATCTCGCGCTAATCATCGTCATGATCAATCATCGCGGCGGAAGAAACGCGTCGGGCGGCGCCGCCGTCGCGTCCCGCAATCCCTCGCGCGCGTCCGCCAACGCGCGCGCCGCCCGCCCCGCCGCCGCGCCGTGCGACGCGACGTACGCCTTCAGCGCGTCCCCCATGCTCGCGGCGAGCGCGCCGTGGAACCAACACAGCTCGCGGTCGCTCACGAGTACCGCGCGAGAGTACCTCCCCCCGAGATGCGTCCGCGCGATCCTCGCGTCCGAAGCGCGAAGCTCGAGCGCGTCCCTCTCCATTCGCTTCGGGCTCCCGAGCTCGGGCACGCCGAGCGCCACGATCTTCGCGTCGATAGCGCTGATCTCCGCGCACAGCTTGTTGTACGCGTCCACGAGCTGCCTCCGTCGATCGCGCGCGTGCGTCGCGGACGCGCACAACGCCGACGCGGCGCGAAGCGGCTCGCGAAACGCGTCGGCGACGGCGTCAGCCAACGCGTCCGACGGCGCCGCTCTCGCCGCGAATAGAGCGCTCGCGGCGCTCCATCGAATTGGGACGGTCGCGGACGCGCCGTCCATCGCGCGGAAGTTGGCGCACGCGCGTAACTCCGCGTCGTCCAGGTCGGCGCACGCCGCCGCGAACGCCGTCGCCGCCGCCGCCGCGCCCGCGTGGTGCTTCGTCACCGCCGTCGTCGCCTCCAACAGCGCGTCGACGCGCTGCTTCAGCTCGCCGACGTACTCGCCGATCTCGACGAAGCGCGCGTCCTCGACGATGCCGTCGTTCGTGACGTTCGGCGCGTTCGGGACGTCGATGAACGACGACGCCGACGACGACGACGACGCTCGCGCGTTTGCCGCGCCGCCGAAAAATTCCTGCGTCGCGCGGATCGCGTCGGACGTGACCCCGCGCTCGTGCCACGGCACCCTCTCCTTCCACGCCCCGCGGTCCTTCTCCTCCAGGAACGTCCGCACGTCGTCGCTCGCGCGCATGAGCGGATGACGCGCGATCCGCGCGACGAACACGCCAAGATCTCGCCGTCGGCGCTCGATCGCGACGCTCCCCGGGTCGTCGCTCAGCGGCGCGCTCAGCGTCTTGCCCGGGAGCGCGGGCACGAGCACGCCGTCCGCGCTCGCGCTCAGCGCGCGCCACAGCCACTCGAACTCGGAGTACCGCCTCGCGACGCGCCCGGACGCGCTCGCGAACTTCGGTAGGCCGGACGTCCAGTACGTCACGACGTACTCCACGTGCTTCGACAGGCCCTCGCCCGCGCGATGCGGGTCGGTGATCTCGATCTGCAGCGAGACGGACGGGTCGTCGCCGCCGTCGTACCCGGCCGGGGCGGAGAGCGGTTCGACGGAGGGGGGCGGCGCGGGGCCGACCTCGGCGTCGCTGATGGAGCCGCCGCCGCCGGGGGCGGGGTACGGGTCGACCGAGGTCATGGCCGCGCGGCGCGGCGAGTGATGAGGCCGCGGTTTCAACTTTCGTTTCACGCGGGAAACGCGACGACGACGAACAGATTCTGTTCGCGTTCAGTTCGGTTCGTCTCACGACCACCATACCCACCGACGAACTCGCCCGCCCCCGCGCGCCGCCCCCGCGCGGAGAGTCAGTCCCCGCGCGCGCCTCCGCCGCGACCGTATCCAGCGCGCGCCATGTCCGAACGCGTCCGTCGCGACGCCGCGGTGCACGCCGCCGCGCGCGTCAAGCAGCAGCTCGCGTCCGCGCGCCCCGTCCCCAACGCGCGCGCGAAGCGAAAAGACGTGCAGCAGCAGCGGCAGCGCGAAGAAAACGAAAAAGACGCGTCGAGCGAGGACGCGCGCGTCGACGCCGTCGCCGACGCCGACGCCGACGCCGCGACGGACGCGACGCGCGACGATCGCGGGGAAGAGGAGGAGGAAGAAGATCCGCCGCCGCAAATGCCGCCGCCGCCGCAACGCGAGGCGACGCGCGAGGCCGCGGAGGTTTGCAACGTCGAGGAGGACGGCGGCGACCTCGACGACGACGACGACGACGACGCGCGCGAGGGCTCGGACGCGAACGACGCCGCCGCCGCGACGGACGCCGCGCGCGCGCGCGCGACGCGCCGGAGCGGACGCAAGCGCGCCGCGCCGTCGCTCCCGGACGACGACGTCGTCGAGGACGACGATCGCGAGGAGCGACCGACGCGCCCCTCGCCGACGAAGAAGAAGAAGCGCGACCCTGGCAACCCTGGCAACCCCGGCGCCGCCGCGAAGCCCCCGCGCGCGCCGAAAGCAGCGAAGAAGACGACGACGACGACGACGCGGAAGAAGCCCAGGGCGCCGCGCGTCGTCGTCGCGACGCCCGCGACGCGCGCGGCAGCCCCGAGCAGCGCCTCGGACCCGCTGTGGGTGCTCGCGGACGCGGTGGACGGCGTGGAGGGCGCTTCGAGTCCCGCCTCCCCCGCCGCCGCCGCCGCCGCAGCCGCCGCCGCGGCCGCGGCGAAGGCGAAGGCGGCGGCGAAGGCGAAGGCGAAGGCGAGCAAGGAGAACCTCGAGACGCGGATCAAGTCGACCCGCGACGCCGTCCTCGAGGAGGTGACGATGCTAAGAGAGACGCGGACGTGGCGCGCGGAAGTCGCCGCGCTGCGCGCCGACGCGGAGGCGCGCGTCGAGCCGCCGCCTCAAACGCCGCCGAACCGAGCCGACGCCGACGCATCCGTCGCGTTCTCCGCGGTTGTCGAGCTTCGCGACGCGTGGGGCGCGTTCCTCGAGCGCAACGAGTCGCGGTGGCGAGAGGTGGAGGAGCGCGCGAGCCGCGACGAGATCGAGGCTCGCCGCCACCGACGCGCCGCGGACGCGCGACTGGGTAGGTTGGAAGAGATCGTCGTGGATCTGACGCGACGCGAGCGACGCGACGCGCCGCCGCCACCGCCGCCGCCACCGTCGACGCCGTCGGTCGTCGGTCGCGACTACGACGCGCTGCGATGGCCGGGGCCGACGGCGACGGCGACGGCGACGACGGCGGCGCGCTCGGCGGCGCCGCCCGCGGGTTTAGTGTCGCCGCGTCTCGCGATCGAGCAGCTCGCGCTCGGTCAGGTCCCGCGGTTGGGGTCGGGGTTCATCGGGACCGCGGGTCACCGCGCGACGACCGCGCCGCCGCCGGCGTCCGTCTGCGGAGGAGGGGATTGCGAGTGAGGCGACGACGACGCGACGAGAGTGTTTCTTTGTTTTTTGTTTGTTGCTGCTGCTGTCGTACAAGCTCTGCGTCTACGTCTCCGCCTCTGTCGTCGACGACCCTCCCGAGGTTCAACCACCCGCCCGCCCGTCCTCCCTACGGCGGCAACTTCCCCGTCGCGAACGCGTCGAAGGAGTCGTCCACGACGCAAAACACCCTCGACTTCGTCGTCGGAAAGTGCAGCTTCGCCGCGGCGCTCCGCGCGACGGCATCCGCGCCCGTCACCGTCTCGAGCTGCTTCCGCTCTGATTCCCAGTCCACCCACTTGATGTTATCGCGGTCGAAGTACCCCTTCTCGGACTTTTTCGTGATCCTGGATCATGGACGCGCGGAGGCGACGCGCGCGATTGGGGGAGGGACGGGAGGGGCGGCGACGTGAGGTGGGTCGGGTTCGCGGGTCGGGGGCGAGAATCGGACGCGAATCGAAGATGATCGATCCATCCCATTCCATTCCCCGCGAGGGATCGAAGAACGACGACGACGACGACGGCGCGCGCGCGCGAACACGCACTTCTCCTCCTTGCTCACGGTCTCGCGCGCGATGTTCATCTCCCGCGTGTTTCCTCGTCCTCGCGACATGACGACGACGTGCGCGCGCGCGCGTGGAGGCGCGCGTGGAGCGTCGTCGACGTCGACTCCAATTGTGTGCCGCGCGCCGCATTTGAAAATCGAAATCGAGCTCGGTACGAGCATCGGCCTGACTGGTTTTCATACGAAACTACACCCGAAAAGTACACGAGTACGAATCCTGACCCCGCCTCGACATCGCCATCGTGTGAACAAAACCTCGGCTCGTCGTGCGGAGGCGTCTCACTGCGCGAGCGAGCAGCGCAGCCCGCTCGCGCGGTCGCGGTCATCACCTCGCGCTGATGTGCGCGGGTGATCGCGTCACTCGATCGCGCGGCGAGAATGTGACGTGATGAGCGCGCATCCGGGCGATCCGCGAGCGGGTGTGTGTGGGATTCGTTTTCCTCCCCGCCCTAACTGGGGGCGCGCGTCCCCGCGGGTTCGGTTCGGTCCCTCGCGCGGCGCTCGTCACTCTCGCGCTGTCGCGATCGCGTCGATGTGATCACGATCACGCGGCGGGTACGAGCGCGACGGTCGGTCGTGGGTGACGATTGATATGGCGACCGTCGCCACGACGTCGCGCCCGGGGCGGAAGAGCGAATTCGAGCCTTGACGACGCGGGAAGCGGCGCCGCTGCCGCTGCCGCTGCCTGATGACACCGTACAGCCTGCTGCTGTACTGTACACGTGTACCGGACGACTTACGAAAACTGCGCGAACTGTCCTCGCGGCCCAGCTCGAGCCGCGCGACAGAACGACGCGGACATCACGCGGAACGAGCTCGTGCACATCTGCTGTGTCGGTACGTCCCGAAGCTGAACTCCCATCGCGTTCGCGTCTTCGTCGCCTTGTCCGCGGTCGCGCGCGTGCCGGATCTCGCGCGCGTCGTGCGACGTTTTTTCTTTTCCTCGCTAGTACGGTAGGTGCTCACTCTCGCTCTCGAAATTCGAGCGCGAGGGCACCTTTCACGCCTTCACCGCGAGCGCGCGCGCCGGTACCGACGCCTCTCGAGTCGCTCGCGTGCGTCGCGGTTCGGGTCCGTGCCCGCGGCGCGGCGCGCGTCGCCGCGCGGCGCTCAGCTTCTCCATTCGAATGGTGACTAATTCGTTCCTTCTCTGTAAAAACACAGCTGTGTTGTACGAAAGTACGCGGCAGTCGTCGAACTATGACGCCAAAGATCTCCTTTGAAGAGTTATTAGTGCGCAATGAATTGGACCAGAAGCCGGTGGTGTCAGTCGAAGGCGATCAACTGTATCTCATCGAGGGCAGAGGCGAGTACGCCGGAGGCACGCGCTTGGAGACGCCGGAGAAGATCGATGCTGTTCGGGAGCGGTGCGATGACGACAATGTGAACGCGGTGACGACGTCCGCGGTGACGACGCCCCCCTCTGCGACGACGTCCGCTGAGACGAATGCCGACGCGCCCGTCCAGAAAGCAATGAACAAGGGGTCGTGGAGCGAGGAGGAGAAACAGAGGGCTGTCGCCGCGGCTAACGAGTTCAAGTCCAAGTCCAAGTACGGCGCCTATACGTTCATCGCGGAGCATGTCGGCACTCGAAACGCGGAACAGGTTCGTGCGTGGCTTAATACGCATGGGAAGAAACTCCAAGACATCCCTCAGTATCTCAAGCAGACTCGAGCCTATGAGAAATTAAACATTGATGTTGATTCCTCGGATGAGAGGCGCAAAGTGCACGCCGGGCGACAAAACCTAAAACGTCGCGCGGTGGGCGCGGATGGGAAGACCGGCAACGAACGCCGTGCCGAAGCGAGACGCACGGTGGTGGGCGCGGATGGGAAGACCGAGAACGAACGCGCTAACGAAGCGAGACGCGCGGTGGGCGCGGATGGGAAGACCGGCAACGAACGCCGTGTCGAAGCGAGACGCACGGTGGTGGGCGCGGATGGGAAGACCGAGAACGAACGCGGTAACGAAGCGAGACGCGCGGTGGGCGGCGCGGTGGGCGCGGATGGGAAGACCGGCTACGAGCGCCATAACGAAGCGAGACGCGCGAAGCACGCCGAAGAGGTGACGATCACGACCAAGGAGGGCGAGACCTTGGACAAAGTGACGATCGCTCGCGGCGGCGAGATCGAGCCGAAGCGCTCCGACGCCGACATCTCATTCGCCGCGGAGGCGTGGGTCAAGGCAGCGCTCGCGGGGATGGAGGAGATGTCCAAGGTGGGGAAGGTCGCCTCGGTCGGTATTCAAGCCACGGCGCTTCATCGAGCGTCGGACGAGGGGTGTAATCTTCTGCATCGGGAAAACGTTCGAGAGCTTCTCGCCGAGCGCGGTCTTCTCCCCAGTGGCGTCCACCTCGCGACGTTTGACTTCAACTTTCGCGCTCGCGGCGAGACGTGCCTGAGACTGGAAAAAGCGGTACAGCAGCGGTTCATCGTCATGCGCGACGCGGGCGAAGTGCACCTTCTGTTCAACTACGCGGGCAGGGGCACGCTGAGGTGCAACATCACCGGCATCAACCAGACGGTCACCGTGTCCTTCGCGTGCGACAAGAGATGCGGATCGATCACGAAGGAGGACATCGAGCGGGTGCTCGCCTCGTTCGACGCCGTGCTCGGGTCAGAGGAGAACGCGCATTTGGGATTACGCGCGAAGGTCGCGGTGAACGCCGAGCACGATGGGGCGGAAGGGGTCGTGGCGATGCTCGAGACGATCCTTCGGGACAAGAACGTGCCAATGGCGTTGGTGATTGAGTTCTTCTACATCCACTACAACAAAGACTTGAGGTACAAGACGGTCGGTCTGCGTCAACAGATGGCTTTGCGGGTGATTGAAAAGCGAGGGTGGGGGACGGTCAAAGGGTGAGTGCACTGGGACGTCGTTTGTTGGCGGCGACGGACGCGGTGAAGAGGGGGGGGGGCAGAGCGAGAGATGACGACGACGAGAGCTGCCGCGGGAGGGGTGTTGGCGGCGACGGACGCGGTGAAAAGGGGGGGGGGGGGGCCAACCCAGAG